ATCGATCACGGGGAACTTGATTGTTACTATCAAACAATTGTAAACTTGTAAAACTATGGAAATATAGATTCATATAGGTACTACTGTAACTCTAATCCAAACAGTGATTACGACAGTTTAACTTCAAGGTCAAGTGTTGATTGGTTGTGTTACAGAGCCGCGCAACAGTGAAGACCTGGAGACGTTGGTGTGGACACCGGAGCACGGGCTGACGGACCGGCAGATAGACCAGTTCCTGGTGGTGTCGCGCTCCGTGGGCACATTTGCGCGCGCTCTGGACTGCTCCTCCAGCGTGAAGCAGCCCTCCCTGCACATGTCCGCCGCCGCCGCCAGCCGGGACATCACCCTGGTATGACGTCACAACACTCCCATCTTTTTTTAAGCCTTGCGAAAATAACCCCACGAAGACCTCCTCTTGCCTTGTGCCAGGTATATGGGAATGCTCTTGCACACTTTCATAATCCTGACGATGTGGACTCAGTTCTAGTCAATGCATACATTCATGCATCTAACCCTAAAAAGTTTTCGTTTTTTATATATATATTTCGCGCGGACGGAGTCATGGGCGACAGCTAGTAAGGAATAATTTAAAATATAGGTATTCTATACCTTATATGAATGTACTGCAACTCTTCTGATAACAATGTTGATAGTGGTGTTTACGGAAAGCTATTTTTATCGCATACCCTTTAGCCTTTTGTTGAGAAAATATTTCAATGTTAAAGTTTTGAACTTGTTCAAATTCCAGTTCCACGCGATGGACACCCTGCACAAGTCCGGGTACAGCATAGAGGGTGCGCTGTCGTCCCTGGTGCCCGCCTCCGGCCCCGTTCTGTGCCGCGACGAGATGGAGGAGTGGTCCGCCTCTGAAGCAAATCTCTTCGAGGAGGCGCTCGACAAGTACGGCAAGGACTTTACCGATATACGACAGGACTTTGTGAGTATATTACATTATATACTATTAAGAGTTGGTTTCTGAGACCAACCCTCTATAAAACATATTGTCATCCCTCTCATCATCTTTGACAAAATTGAAATGGCAATATGTTTTATATAGTTGGTCTCAGAAGCCAATGATAAGTGATTTAATATTATTAATAGTTTTTTTTTAACTTTATGCCAAAAAAGCTTCAGTAATCCGTAATTAATTTTCGATTCTCAGAGTCTGTCTAGTATGGGGTTTTTAGACTTTGTGCGTTGTCCAGTAAGCACTAAAGACAGATGATGTTTTTTTTTTTGAGTTTTTTTCGTGTCTAGAAAGGAAGACGTGAATATGTATTCAAAATATTGTTAATGTATGTTTGTCAGTTGCCATGGAAGACGCTAAAGAACCTAGTGGAGTACTACTACATGTGGAAGACGACGGACCGCTACGTGCAGCAGAAGCGCGTCAAGGCGGTCGAGGCGGAGTCCAAGCTGAAGCAAGTGTACATTCCCAATTAGTGAGTGTTTGTACCAACCACATATTTATATTCTATACTTTCAGTACATCTCTCTCTTATTGCTTCTTATGATTCCCTACCCTGTGTTAGTTTAACGCTTGTGTTAATATTTGACTAACTTTCGGTAGATTCGTATGTCAACACTGAATGTGTTTATGTATTTTTGTTGAACATTGTTAAAAAGAATACATTTTAAGTCAAAACATTAAGGTTTATAAAAGTTTATGCGACAAATTCCCAAGATAAGGTCAGGGAGATACTGCCAATGATTAGAAAAAAAACTTTATCCATATTTTTAATTTTAATTGTTAAAATAATGGTCAAAATTATCAATTTGACAACTAACATACATATAATATATTAAAGTAGCAGTGTTTATAATTGTGTGGACGTGAACTTACAGCAACAAGCCGAACCCGGCGCTGGTGTCGAGCGGCGGGGGAGCGGGCGCGGGCGGCGCGCCTGCTGCAGCGGGCAAGGCGGGCGCCGTACTCAACGGTGGCACCAACGGCACTGCGGCACCCAATCTATGCGCCTCATGTCAAGGTATCTCTTAATCCTTACTTCTCTTACTAATATTATAAATGCGAATGTTTGAATGTATGGATGGATGTTTATTAGTAGTTATTTCCAGAATGGCATTATGATCTTGCTGGAATTTGGCATAAATGTAGAACATAATCTGGAAGAATACTAGTTTACCATAATTATTAACTCTAATAAGAAGAAAAGAAATTTTCTCGAAATACAATTTAAATACATATTTATCATTATTTTTTATTTGCGACGGCGAGCACGGTGACCCATCAGTTTCTAAGTTTTATAAGCAGCTATTTAAAAATTCTAACATATTTAAAAATGTTATTATAAATTTAAATGAGATAAAAAGGATTAAAAGATATCAGCAATTAATACTTTTACGATTAATTAACGCATGTTTTTGAATTTACGATCTGGTGTCATAAAAGAAGGCAAGTGATCTTTGCAATTGATAAACATCTATGATAATTTCATCAAAGATTTATCTTGATAATTTTTGTTTATAGTCTGTATTTACGTTTCAGTGACAAACTCAAACCAGTGGTACGCGTGGGGTCCTCAACATTTACAATACAGACTTTGCGGCTCCTGCTGGCAATACTGGAAGAAATATGGAGGACTTAAGGTAAATCCTATTTGTTATACTCTAACTACGGCACTTAGATAAATTAGTGTAGATTTCTCATGTACACTACCTATACTGATATTATAAACAAGAAAGATTTGATTGTTTGCATAAAACAACTTGTGTGAATCAGACGGCGGGCGTGTTCGGCGAGAGCGAAGCTGAGGCGGCGAAGGGCGCGCGGGAGGGCGACGAAACCGCGCTCTCGGCCTCACACCGCCCTCACCGCTGCACCGTGCTCAACTGCGCCAAGGTAACACCGTACACCAATACATGCCGCTACACGGTACTGTCGCATAACATTAGAAGTAGTACCATATCTTATTTGAAGAAAATCAATTATTGCCTCCCATACTTGTAATATAGCCATTAATAAGTGTACGCGTGTTGTACGTTGTCTAAAAATAGTTAGATGTAATTGTGAATATTATTGTGTTAGGAGTTCAAGTTGCGCGCGCACCTGGCACGGCACGTGGCGACGGCCCACGGCGCGGGCGAAGGCGCTCGGCCCGTCATGAAGACGCGCGCCGCCTTTTACCTACGCGCCTCGCCCTTCACGCGGCTGGCGCGTCGTCTGGCTCGCGCCCTCCGCCGCCCACGACACTACGCGCGCTCGCCCTTCTCGCCTATCAACCTGCATCAGGTCAAGCACGAGTGTAAGTACTCTACATACGATATCGCTTTACAGTTTGACTTTTATATTAGATAAAAGGCCTCGTAACGAGAGCAAAACTTCAGTTAATGATGTAATTAATCTTCATTATTAATTAATTAATCTTAATAAAGTAAATTGGAATAAAATATCTTATGACATAGTATAATGAGTGCTTCAAATACTTTCTAGGTACCCTGGCAATGGCTGGCGGTGTAGGCGCCGGCATAGGAGCGGAGGTGCGCGGGGCGGCACGCGCACGCGGCCCGGTAGGCGCGGTGGCGGCACGTCTGGCGGCGGCGCACGGGGGCGCTGCGCCGCGCGCTCAGGACTGGCTCACACTTACGCCACGTGACCGCATGCCCGCGCCCAACCACGTCGCCTTCCCCAAGCCTCCCAAAGCGCCAGGTAACGATGAAATAGTAAAACTCAAAATAACTTTCTATGGTAGTATATATTTGACCATTGCACTGCAATCAAGCACCCAACAAAAAAAACACAACACAGTACTAGGTGTTAATAAGAATGATTTTTTGCTTATTTTTACATTAGATTTTGTCTAAATTAATATATATGATAAGATTTTATCCTGATAAAATGTGTGTCTTTGTAGATGGCAGCTTGATGTACGAGCGCGTAGCTTCGCGCGCGGAACTGGAGGCGCGCCGCAACGAACCCGCCCCTGCGCCTGTGCTGACCCCCGCCCCGCCGCTCAAACGCCGCGCTTATGACGACATTAACGGACTCGACAGTCAGTATACTTTATTGTAATGGATACAAATTCGCATAATTTACATATAAATCCACGAATGCATTTGCGACTATTGTTATTTATGTTGGATAGAGGAAAAATTATATATTAAAAGAGACATGAGTCGGTTTAGAACTGTTCTTTTACATAATTTTTAATTTAAAATATCTTATTTCAATGCTTTCTTTATGGAACAGTACCAGGTTAGTCTAAATTCCTTGTGAGACCAATTACATGCAAAAAATCATCGATATTTAAAGTTGTGTGGTATGTATGACAATGTGTGTGTGCGTGTATCAGGAGCGGGCGTGGGAGTGGGTGGAGGTCGTGAGGTGCCCGCGCCGCCGCCCGCCAAGCGGCCCAACAAGCACCCCGCGCCCATGCAGCGGCCCTCGCGCGAGCAGTACGCCGCCATGTGCGCGCGCGCTCAGGCCACAGGGCAGCCGCTGCCTGCGCACGTCTTCACACACGTCAGTTCCTACCATACATACTGCTTATATACCAAAATAACTTCATCTCATCGCTAAAATTTTTTTCAATGGATGTGAAACTATGAATGTCGTTGTTGCTATTTGTTCTTGTAATAAAATACTTTTTATAAAAAATATTTTTTACAGACATAAAATCATGATTGATATAAAACCTTAATGCAAGATTATATATGTTCATTGTGCAGGTAAACGGCAAGCCGACGAACCTGACAGGTCGCGGCGGCCGGCGCCACGTCATCTCGTGGATGGACGCCCCCGATGACCTTTACTTCAGAGCCACCGACCTCGCCAAGTGAGTGTCAACAACTACTGTCGCTTGTTGATTTTTACTACATAAAAGTCACATTCTAGTGATCTTATTCATCGAGTCTTATAAATTTCATCTAAAACCGATTTTTTTTGTTTAGGGCGGGTCGACGGACACTGAGCAGCGGCGAGCTGCGCCGGGGGGCACGCGCGCCGTGGCGGGCCATGCGAGGCGCGGCGGTCGTGGGGGGCGCGGCGGGCGCAGGGGGCGCAGCGCCCGGCAAGGCGCCCGCACCCGCGCCGCCGCTGCAGCTCGTCATCCTCGACTGACAGGTGGGACTTCTTTTCTTTTTTCAACACCCTTTCTCATTAAAAAAATAATTCGAACACAATTATTGTTATCTATATGTATTTATGAAGTATGTACAATATAGTGTATTATGTTGTGTTGTAGGAGCCGCCGCGACCGCCGCACCCGCCGCACCCCTACACGATGGAGGCGCTGCTCGGCTGAGCGCCCGCCCTTGTACATTCGCCGTGTAAATACGTCCGCCGCCCCCCGCGACCCCCGAGCGCACCCGCGCCCCCTGCGCCCGCCGCGCGCTCCAAACGAAGATTGTATTTTTGGTAATCGAATCGCCGAGAACGGATTCTGTAGATAATAATTTTAAAACTATATTGTTCTTATGTGGTTTGATCTGGCGACGAGCAAAATAATGTATTTGATACATAAAACGATATGTAAGTCTATTTCATTCGGAGATTCATTGTAGGATAATTTACAATTTTTTTCATAAATAAAGCACAAATCGGATTAATGTATTTTTCTTTCTTCAGTGTTATTGTTTTTCTGTCCTAAAATCAACCGCTCCTCACCTTACCATATCCAAACTAACTGATCACCGATTTAACATCAGTAAGAGGCTATCATCGGTGCAGCTAATAATCGAGGGCTGATGGGGTTTGTATGAATTTAAAAATAAAAGAAAATTATTCTTTTTTAAAAAGTTATATTTATTCGAGTACATAACTACATCTTACGATAAATGGATAATAGCTATTATTCCGTATGATAAATATGTTTTAAGTGGATTTTTGACCCCTGCATCGCCACGTCTCACTTTATTCGAAAAGCGCTATCACATAGTTCATAGGTTACACGTTCACGTACAAAAATATCTGACATTAGCAACAAGAGCGGCGGCGCGACGTCGTCACTGTCGCCGGAGCTGACTGTACCTCGCAACACAACACGCGAGCGTTGTATTCCAATGGCACTTGACTGTACTTCCTTGTTCCCACTCCTATCTACCTCCTATCTCACAAAACAAATATATTTCCCATGTCCGTTCATACAAAAACATGTTTTTAACATTTCCAAAAAACCTAGACACTAATTATCGACTAAATTGAAAAGCATACGAATATAAGTTGTATATAAATAACATCATAATAACATCGTTACAATTTTTTACACGTATTCATCGCACACGGACACTTTTGAACTGATTAATTATAGAAAAATGTTCGCATGCAAGAAATTAAAAAACATAAAACAATTCACATTTACAAATTATCAAAATGTGCAATGAAGTGACACTCCGAGGTTTAGCAAAGCGAGTTGATAAACCTCGTCATGACACAGTTGACACGGGTACAGTCGGCTCCTATCTACACGACGACGTCGCCTGAGATTGTTCCCTAACTCATTCTCATTGCGAGTTAAATTGAGCAGAATGTTTTAAGGCTACATTTACACTAAGTCAACTTTGTTGGCGGACTATATGGTTTGTTAGAGTAGGCCTCCGATTAAAAAACTATTTTATACAATTCCATTAACGATAATGTTATTTCAAAAGTCAGTCCCTTACCGTCGTTTACCTGTTCTTATAATAAAGCCCCCACACTTCAACTAACATTGCAGTAAACTAGCTCTAAGTTTTAATCTCAAAGCCGTCGCGACGCACTTGTCTCGCGACACGACACGGCACGCCGCGCACTCCCACGACACGACACGACACAAAACACCGATAGTCATAATCGCCGTAAAATACTCAATACAAAAATACTGTACAAATTACAATAATTATTATATGTAGGTAATAAACTCGTACCGATATATCGTAAGCGGTTCATGCTCTGATAGAATCTAACGCCCGGCCTCTCTCAATATTACACCATTCACAAATTATATACAATGTCTTTTTATTTTAATATACATGTTACATTGACACACATCCAAATTTGATCCCAAAACTGTAGTCTTTAACCTCGTTTTATTTTCTAAATTAAATAATGAGATCGAACATAGTCATATAGATAATTTGACGAGTTCGTAACGGAGCGCGCCAGCCACTGGACACTAACACGGCAGCGCGGTATCGCGGAAGCTGACGATTTACATTTAGTCTGAAGTGAAGGCAGACAGTTAAATATAGACCTACAAGTTAATACTTTCTCATTCATAAATATGTTCATATAATATCTTCATTTGTAACAAGGCACTGTTTGCTAACAATCGATAACTGTTTTGTTTATTCAGATTCATCATCTTATCCTAAAATAATAGCCAATATTAAAATATTCAACTTGCGGTACAAATAAATCGTACGAAAATACACACTTGACTCTGCGTACATACATCAATACTAAAATAGTTTTATTTCAGTATATAATTTTTATTTTGTAAATAGGCTTCAAGACTATCAGATCCGCCAGAAAAATTACGTTTCATACAAAAATATTGATCTTTACTTTTAGTTGCCGGTACGCAAAAGATATTACAGCTAGTAATAATTAAAATTAGCCGCGGTGGTGGCACCGAAGGTCGGGTTAGGTGGGATACGATTTTTGGACATTTTGGACGCCAATCGGTTGAGTGCGACAATGGAATGTTAACAGGACTACGTCTGACAACACGAGACACGTGCGGGGACCGCGCACACCGCGGCATAACTGTCCTCGTATACACTGCTCCCGCACGCACTGTCACCAACGTAACACACATCTTGCGAAAACTCACTTCCAATTGCAATGATATAAGGTTAGAGTTTCTCGTAGATGTATCGCGTTTGTGCACGTGTTTGTTCAGGATTGCGATATTCACAGCACACACACCATGGAAAAACGATTCTCGTGGCTTGGAGAGCCTTCGATAAGTTGCTTCAGTGCTTCGACAAATTCAACGGCAAATCTGAAATAAAGAAATAGTCTTTATTAAAAAAATGATCACAATAACAAATGCAATATGTAATATTTATATAGTTTTTGCATGCGACATTGAACGCTTGGATTTTAAAAGAACTTAGCAATATGCCAAATTTCAGCATAATCCATTTATTTCATTTACTACTACTGCTACTAGTAAGACACACACTTTCTCGATTCCTTCTCTTAAAAATGTGTATTTATGGCTAGTAGTATTCTGTGATAAAATGATTTTATAGTAAAAAAGTAATTTAGCACTCACCGGAGGTGTGTTCGTCCTTGGGTATGTGGTCGGTGAGCAGAGGGTGCGGGTGCGGCAGCGGCGCCCAGGGTCCGGGCGCGTGCGGGGGGTACTGCAGCCACAACGGCGGGGCGCGGTACAGCGGCACGTAGCCGTAGGGGTATGCGTATACGTCGCCGCCGCGGTACGCCGGCCACGCTCGCGCGTATCCGCCCGCCGCAACAGCCGCCGCGGGGGCACGCGGGTGTCGTAGCTCCGGCGGCGTTGGCGGTCCCGGTGAACTCAGTCCGAGCGCGCCGTATCGATACCGGAAGCCGTCTGGACTGCCGCTCGCGTCCGACTGCGCCGCGCCCGGCGACTCCGACAACAGCGGAGCGTACGACTGCGGCGAGCGGCGCGACGGACTGTCGTCAGGCCGATTTAGTAACGAGTGAATGCTATAGCTGCACACATTCTTGGAGGGCGTTTCCTTGCGAGGACCGGTACCGTTCGGTCGCGCCGGCTCCGGTTTGGCGGCGTGACTGGGTCCCGCTGAGGGCGGGTACGAGGCTGTGCTGAGCGCCGGCACCGTCTTCGCGCGTCGCTTAGTCGCCTGGTCCTCGAGGCTGACGCGCTCCATTTCCCGTAGGATACGTTTCCGCGGCGACACCATCATGTGCTCCTGCCGGCAATTCGCCAGCTTCGCGTTCACGATCACCGGCAACGAGGAAGTCTTCTCGCGGAGCTTATCTATGGTCGCGTTTAGCAACTTGCGCCGCATCGGAGGCCGCGTCTTTTTGTACACCCTTAACTTATGATACTGATATGGTTTCTTGAGTTTCATGTGGAAATATTTCTCGCGGTCGTAGTCCGTCCTCTTGTCATCTTCCACGTTTGTTTTCGTTTTGGAATCTGAGGGCGCGTCGACGACGTCTTCGCCACCAAATAGCTTCGTCTCTTGCTCGGCGAGCTCGCCGTTGCGTTTCTTATCGCAGACACCATTAAGGGGGCCTTTGCGCGCGTTGCCGTTTAGAAACGCCGCGGCGTCGAGGTGGCTGGTGTCGTAGGGGCGGCGACGTTTGAGGCGAGCGGGCGCGTCGATGGCGGAGTTGGGCAGGGTGGCTGGCCTGCAGTAGTACATGGCTAGCTCTTTGGATACGTTACGTCTCGGCGCGGCCTGCTTCCAGCAGTGGTCGCGCTGCCAGGGCGAGGACTGCACGGAGCTGTTGTCGTCGGAGACGGAGAGCGAGGCGCAGGGCGGGGGCGCAGGCGGCGTGGCGGGTGCGGCGGCGGGCGGCCAGAATGTCTTGCGCGGTACTGACACCCAACCCGCGCGCTCACCCTCACGCGCGCTCCCGCGCACCAACTCCAGGATGAACTTGCCATCTGAAAATTATGTCAATATCATTGTTAGTTACATCTATTTAAGTCTTAAATATTTTCACCGAGAGCCAGAAATAAGACAATATAAGTTTTATAGAAGCATATTTGTTTTGATGGAACAAGTTAATACTGCAATGAGTAACACATATCAATGTTTCCCTTAAACTAAAGTAAACAATGATAAAGGCAGACGGCCATATTTGTTCTTGTCAAATGCGATAATCACCTGTCCACTTTGTTATTCTAAGCAAGTGCAATGTTGACTCAACTCCATGATAACACTTCTTCCCTTATTCAATACTATCATATTGTTTGTTTTTCAATCTGTTTTGTTTCATTCAAGTATGAGTGGGCTACTACAAGCAAGTGCTTAATTTACATTAGACATTAGAACTAATGTTGTTTGCGTTAAAAACTATAAATTTGTTTATTGCTCCTATGACAGATATCTAAAATGTCACCTGCTTTACGATCAAACTAACAGTATTGAAGTTATTTGCAGAAATGAAAAATGGTAGTGATTCAATGAATCTCAACGCTTGTTTAATTCACAGTTTGATCATTGCAGCAAATAAGCAAAGTTTAATTCCAAATAGGGGACAACAACAATACAACCATTATTTATATGAATTTAGTCTAAAAGGTGTTCTAACACATTTATGTTAAAATATATTTATTATAACAACAAAAATAGTATAAATATAACATGGTAAAAACATTCAAGTCACATTGATATCTAGTACAGGGCCAGCAAGTTGTTTTTGTGTACTAGGAAAACCTTATTAAATCTATCTATTTAACATATGTTAATATACACATTGGCATATTAATCAACTGTGCAATACTAAATATAAGATTTATATAAGCTCATTTAAAAATCACATAAAATTTTATAGTTATCTTTTTACATACTAAACAAACATTTTACGGATAATAAAGTTAAACTAAGTTTTTATTTTAGTTAAATATACCTATTATGTAAAACTTAAACCAAACACCATCAATATGATTTTGATAATCCTTGCTTAATATATGTAAATTAACACAAACTTGAATATTAAATTATATGAATTCATAATTCCCATTTAAGTACTTATGTTAAGTTAAATAATGATTAAATTTTTATATATATTTTAATTAATTAACCTTATGAGTAGAAAAAGTTTTAAAGCAGTCTTCTTCTTTTCTTCATATTTTGTTATATTAGTACATAAAAAAATATTTTAGGCAAGAAATAAAAACTTTAGATAAGGATCACACATGCTTAATTTATTTGCTACTTAAGTAGTTTAATCATAACAGAAATATCAAATTTATTCAATATCATTTGAAGTCAATGTTGCAATAAATTTTTATGGAGGCATAAATTGAAAAAGATATTTAAATTTTTATATTAAAAGAATAAATGGTTATGAAAATGTATATTTATCATAAGTAACTAATCAAAAGGTGCTTTTGAATAAGATGTCTTCTATTCATTGTTTTTACTCTTATATAATTTAAAGCACCAGTTGTCCTTCAATTTCTTACAATAATACATATGTTATTTGTATTCATAAATAGAATTTTTTATGATGGGCAAAAAGTGTTGGATTACTCAAATATTTACATATAAAATCCAAAACATGAAAACAAATTTATGCTTATTTATTCAAAATAAATTTGTTTTATGCCTAATTCCTATTAAGTTAATATGAATTGTCTTATTACAATCACAATAAGAGTGTGAGAAAATCTGTGCACTAAAGATAATTGGTTTCCACTAGAGTGCACCTATCTTCTTACAAAACCAACAACAATAGCAGAGAAGCTGCATTCAGACAATTGGCAACAGCTCACTCAGATCAGCCAGTGTATGATTATCAGAGCATGAATGACTTTCTAGTTTTTATCAACTCATAATGGTAATGAACACCTGTAACTGACAATTAGTTCTACTCCAGTAAGATCGTAACACAGCCTTACCTTTGAAGAACTTAAGCCTTCCACCAGTTGCAGCGAGAGTAGAATTGGGACCAGAAACATCCTCGCTCACTTTGCTACTGCTGTTACCATTCACACCATGTCTTCTGTCTACTTCTTCTGTCATTTTGGTACATGTTGTCAGAGTTGTGTCCGTTCCTCCCTGTATATGCATTTCATTTCTGAGCGCTCTACGCTACACACGAGCAACACTTTATGTGAAACATAATCGCCATGTCGCTCTTTGCACTGCGAATGGCTCCTCGGTAACAAGTCGTGGAATCAGATCGACACTTAGTATTTCCGTCAAAGTCCTCATCCTAATAGGGCCACCTGCGGGAAGCTCGTCTGATAGGTATCGGACGAAGATTCGTATAAACACATTACCGACACGGTGATTGCCAATTTGTACTATTATTACGAACAATCCTATAACTTATAACACTTTTACAGGTTTGTCACTATCTAAACAATTACAAAACAAAACCGCAACGCCGGATTCCCGATTATAATCGGGCCCACGACACAACTCGATAAAAAGCTGTTCGTTTTTCAGTACATAGTTCATTCACACCCAGCATCCATTTTGATTCGTTCAAAATCCAAATACAATCGTTCATTTTGGCCACAAATAAACTTGAAATCTGAATGCGTTGTTAAGAACGTTCAGGTTATGCTAAAATTAAGTTCAATATTTAAGTTATTAGCTTCTTATTGCTTTAAATAAATTCATAATTTTATGAGGTTTTTCTACTAATTAGTACACAACTATAAAGAAAATTGTTTTCAAAATAGTAAAAGTCGAAAAGTAGTTTTATTAAGATACCGCGAAATAGTGCACATTTGCATATACTTATTCTCATTGCATAAATAAAACTATTTGGGCTCCATGTTAATACCTAAAAACTGTAATTTAAACATAAGAATAATATAAGATTAGTCAAATAAGGATTTTTAATTTCTAGTTCAGTTATTTGTATAGTTTATTCTATTATCTGTGTCGAGGTCTTTGGTGCATAGACAATCGTAACAGATTAAATAAAAAAATCGGCTTGCTTTCCCTCGATGACATAGAAATAGAAAACCAAACGCGTATTTTCCGTTCGTGTTTGCATGTTTGTTTGAGTAACATAGCCTAATTATTGTATTTCGAAAGTTAGTGTATATCTAATAATTTAAAACTAGGTGTTGAAACATGGCATCATCAGAAGTATCCTTTAATGGTAAGATAATATCAGAAGATTTGTCGAATGTTGAATTCGACACGAGTGAAGATGTGGAAGTAATTCCAACTTTTGATTCAATGGGTTTGCGAGACGAGTTACTTCGAGGGATATACACTTACGGTAATAATGAGAGACCTTTTTAAATATTAGTTATTTTATATGAAACTATACATTTTACATCTTTGCAGGTTTTGAGAAGCCGTCTGCTATACAGCAAAGGAGTATTCAGCCAATTGTGAAGGGCAGAGATGTTATAGCTCAAGCTCAGTCTGGTACCGGCAAAACGGCAACATTCTCTATCTCGATATTGCAGTCTCTGGACACAACACTCAGAGAGACTCAAGTGCTTGTGTTATCTCCAACGCGAGAGTTGGCTACTCAGATTCAGAAGGTTATTCTTGCTTTGGGAGACTTTATGAACGTACAATGCCATGCTTGTATTGGCGGCACTAACCTTGGAGAAGATATAAGGAAGCTGGATTATGGTCAACATGTAGTGTCTGGAACGCCAGGAAGAGTATTTGGTATGTAAATACTTTATTCCAAAAAATAGTAATTAGTGAATAATAAACTTTTAAAATATATAGGAATCTATTTAAAAATGTATTACACCACATTTTGCAATAAAGAATTTGGAATTCAGTTCTTTTGCGCAATTTTTCCTAATGTGGTTTTGACTTTGGTTATTACAGCTTAAACTTTAACTTTACAGATATGATAAGAAGACGTGTACTACGCACCAGGTCAATTAAAATGCTGGTGCTTGATGAAGCTGACGAGATGTTGAACAAGGGTTTTAAAGAACAAATTTATGATGTGTACCGCTACCTGCCCCCAGCAACACAGGTTGTGCTCATTTCTGCTACACTGCCTCATGAAATACTTGAAATGACATCAAAGTTTATGACAGATCCAATCAGAATTTTGGTCAAACGGTTTGTATTTTCTTAATTTTGTTTCATATATAACATTCAATACCAGTCATATTTGTTTATACAAATGTATACTTCCCTGGTTACTCTTTGGCACTGAGTAACTGTAATTCTTACTTTACCTCTTTAGAAGACATATTCCCGTAATTGATCTGTTTGATAAAGACATAAGTCTGGTATCCATAATAGCAAAAGATTCATATTAATAATTTAATAATGATAAAATAATATTAGTGCTTTTGCTTAAGCATCAGGTACAAAAAGTGTTTTTTGTTTCTAGTGATGAATTGACATTGGAAGGTATCAAGCAATTCTTTGTGGCTGTGGAAAGGGAAGAATGGAAGTTTGACACATTATGTGACTTATATGACACACTGACTATAACCCAAGCAGTTATATTCTGCAACACCAAGAGGAAGGTTGATTGGCTCACACAGAAAATGCAGGAAGCAAACTTTACAGTCAGCTCCATGCACGGAGACATGCCGCAAAAAGAGAGAGATAATATTATGAAAGAGTTTCGTTCCGGACAAAGGTATTACTTTTAAATAATATCATTACTGTGATATTGTACTTTTATTACACTTTTTTCGCTTGCTCAAAATTTTTCTTACTCAAAAATGTGGGTCATATTAAAATCATCATCAGGTCTCTGGCCTTCCTACTTACTAGGAGTTGGGAAAAAATGGTTTTATAATTCTAAATGCTTTGGCTTACTTTTTTGTACTTTAAAGTAAATAAAAAAAAGTTACTTAATTTTTGTTTTCTATTTTCAGCCGTGTTCTAATTACAACAGATGTATGGGCAAGAGGTATTGACGTTCAGCAGGTCTCACTAGTTATTAACTACGATCTTCCCAACAACCGTGAGCTGTACATCCACAGGATTGGTCGGTCAGGTCGTTTCGGACGTAAAGGTGTTGCCATTAACTTTGTGAAATCGGATGATATAAGAATTCTCAGAGATATTGAACAGTACTACTCTACTCAGATTGACGAAATGCCAATGAATGTGGCAGATTTAATTTAAAACATCATAGTAATTTCATCTTTATCCAGTTACTAAAACTGTTTGAACATTTAGGTGAAAGTTATGTCTCTTAATTTCTAAAACTTTATTAATAAATATTCATTTATTTAAATTTTTGTTTCATTGAATTACTAAAGTAGTGAACCATCACAGAGATCCATTAAGTCTAATAATTTGTATATACAGTTATCGTGGATAAGCAAGAAACCGCCACAAGAGTCATCGTCCAGTCCCGACGGACGATCTCCATAAGCGAGAAACTGGTTAGAAAACTCTAAGCGAGAAAAACCGCGGTCCTTTAATCCCTCGCTTAATTAGGTACTAGAATAGAATCCTTTATTGCCACATAAAAAGTACATAAACATAGTCAATATAAAACAAACATTCAATAAAATATACAATGTGGCAAAAGGCGGCAAGCTCAGCAATGCACCAACGGCCAAAGCCATCCCTCAGTTGGTTTTCAGCTAGCCCCTTTAACTTCTAACTATGCACTTAGTCGTTTTTGGTATGGGATGTTAAGAGATGAGGAGTTGTTTTAAAATAATTTCACTGTTTGCAAAATTAAATTTTGGTTTAAGATTATTCAATTGTAAGGGAGATTGTACTTCATAGAGCAATTAAAAGTAATAGAATGTCCAAAATTTAATCAATAAATCAACACAAAAAAAAAATTAAAAGCATATAGTTAAAAAAAAACTATTTTGCAAATATACATTTATCAATAAACATATCTAACAATCGCTAAAAGATGATATAATGTAGAATATTATATACATAATTAAGCTCCTGGAATGTAGCTAAAAATTACACAATATAGGAACAGGCCATCAGTAAATGAAAGCTTTTTGGTTTGCAATTTTATGAACACAATAATGCATCAGTCAAATGTCACCGATTTAAAAACTCATCGACTTTCGCCATTTGGAATAATTGTACAAAAATCAACACCACAGTCATACTGCTTCAAGAAAACTGAGTTAACATATTTTGTATGGGTATTTGTAAGAAAAACTCAATACTAAAAAAACAAATTAAAATATACAATCAATGTTGTCATAAAATAAAGATTGAAAAAAAAAAAAATCTTCCATTTACTAAACAATGTTCACAATTCACATTTACTTTAGAATACATTTTTATACAAACTACTTTTTTTTCCTAAAAAATAAATAATTTACATCTACAATAATCACAAAAATTGTTTACATTGTATACCATAACAAATAGAAATTTTAAAATACATTACAACTTTTTATTAAACAAAATATTTTACAATACAAATGAACTACATAACTACTTGAAAAATGCTGAAACATTTTATGATTACGATAAAAATACATCTCTGAGTACCCTACTCTGGGACACTGGCAAGAGTACATTAAATTTTTTATAACACCAGTTTTAAAAAGATTAATAAAGTTTGTATGTCAATTTATACTATCACCATTTCAATGGCATTCATAATGTGATTTTAAGTGAAAAATAAATACTTGTTATGACTAAAGTTTAAAATGCATGTGCTCAATGTTAAATATTGACTTAATAAAAATAGTCCTTGAAACTAAAGTTACTTACAAGGACTTAATTTTGATGTTACACTAAAGTATGTTGGGAAGCTTATGAATGATTGAAAATGATTATTTTTTTGTTAGTTTAAAAACATGGGTATGTAATTACTAATAGTAAAATATCATGTCTAACATACATTATCTTAAAATACTTTAGAAATCTCATCAAGTGATTTACATATCATCACCAGTTGTGGTTTGATGTGTATTCCAGCGTCTATATATGAATATACCTATTGCACCAACAAGGAGTGCTACAAGTATCTCAGTCAGTTGATCTAAGAAAGTAGTAGTGTTGTCAGACGATTCAATTACTTGAGTCTCAATTTCTGGTGCTGGCTCTTCCACTGGTGGCTTTGAGGCTTGTTCATCCTCACCTTTAAATGCAATTTGATTCAAAACAGATTGTTCTTCTTCAGTTATCGGCTTAGCTGCAGTTGAAGATAATAAATTTATTATTTCTCCACATTCCGAACAAGACCAAGTTCTGGATTTCTTTGCCAAAACTTTGCGTTCTGCTGGGCTGTAGTCGATCGAACCAATAGTACCTTCCGCAGGCGTTGGCATAAAGGCAATCAGGGCAAGAAGAGCTGTTCTTATAGACCATGAAGGTTGCCATGTCTCTGGATGATGTCCAGATATGGACAAACAAATCTTTTTGTTAACTTCGAACCTCCCATTCGGTGTTAATAGTATGATATGCGGTGGATGCATAGGATACTCCTTCGGCAACAGTATCCTACCATGGTAGATCCCATCTTCAAAATCTGTGCCTTTCGGTCCTTGTATTGTAAAGTGCCACTCAAATAAATTATCTTCTAATGGTCTCGCGCAGTATTCTTCTGTAGCTTCCGCTAACTCTATGGCCTCCCGCATCAGACGTTTTACACCAGGGCATTTGGTGTTGTATTTTTCGCTAATTTCTGCCATATTCTTATACTGATTTTGCCACTTTATACTTACAATTCCAATGATGTTTCCAGTTTCACTCCCAAGAGAATCTAATAAGGGTTTTATACGCTTAAGATTATCTCGGTAAATGGGCGATATGTAAATTTACCTTTTATTTAAAATGAAAAGTAATATTTTATTATATTTCTGTTATGTTGTCCAAAGAGTATGATGACGAAATATTATGATTATGTACCAATCCACTGATCTGCACTGCTACGGACAGGTCAGTGCGGGCTTCGTTCAGACTTGAAAGAGGCTATTTATGTTACTGACAGTTAATTTTATTCCTTCTCTATGAATTGTATAAGATTTAGTGGTTTTTTTGTGAAAATCTGCTACCAACCGTCACTAATGCCGTCAGAACCAAAATGGCGAACATCAAATAGGCACAAAATACCTCGACCGTCGCCTGTCCAGGTGTAGAAGTACATACACCAATCAAATATGTCCCAATCATCAAAGAGTACATACATCATCAGGTGTTAGCATTGTTGCCACTGTAAATATAATTTCACTTTATTTAAATTATATCAATTACGAATTTAAGTTAACATAACAAGACTTTAGATTATCTTGACATTTTTATGAACAAAAATCCCAGTTGATTAAAAAAAATTTGCATTATTTTGTTTTGAAGTTTAATAGATGCTAACTGCGTATTGCTGTTTTGTCTGTGCGTAAAGCGACTCGGTCTCGATGTCAAATAAGTCAATGTCAAAAACAACCTGCGTCAAGCGTTGAATCGATATTTTGGATTTTTGGAATAATTTCCTTTTATAAGGTTTTAAATGTGTGATTAGAGTAATTTCAAATAACCACGCAAATATAACTTTCGATGGAGCCGCCTGGTACAGGATCTTCTAGCAATGGATCATTGGCACCACCCGGTGTGCCAAATTTTCCGCCAATGCCACCGCCGCCAGGATCAATGGGACAAGGTAACATCCCGCCTCCACCAATGGGCCCTCCAGGAGCAGTGCCTCCTGTAAGTTCATCAAATGGTTCGACAAATATGCCTCCAGGGATGGGTCCTCCGCCTAGTATGATGGGCATGGGGCCACCCGGCTTGCCCCCGCCGCCACCTGGTATGGGACCTCCGGGTATGGGTATGGGGCCTCCTATGGGACCACCTGGAATGGGTCCTCCTAGAATGCCCCCAACTATGATGCGAGCAGGACCGAATATGAAAGGCATGAATATGGACATGGGGCCGCCTGGGATGGGGCCTCCCCCAAATATGGGACCTCCAGGTGTAGGGCATGGTACCTGGGATGGGCCAGTACCACCTCCAGGTTGGGGAAGACAGAACCAATCTGATGGGCCTCCAGGATGGGATGATCAACAGGATGATGGTGATGAAGACGATGTTGAGGATGATGATGATGAATCTTTGATTGAGCAAGGCCTTTCACAACCTTTGCCTTCATTATTGACAATGAAAATAGATACTCCTGAAGAATTTAGAAGCAAGCCAAATGCTCCTGGTGGAGTTGTGTTGCCTAAGGCCTTAGAAGAGGTACTTGCTTATAAAGATCAGAGACAAGCAGCATTGGGTGATGAAGAGAATGCAGAGCTTGGTATGTAGTAATAATTTAAATATTAATTAATAAAATTTAATTACCATCCTTGCATCTTATTATTAGTTCTGTAATTGAACCATATTGTTATAACAGAAAAAGAGGATATACCTGAAGCTCCTCCAGCACCGGTGATCAGCACAGAATATGATGTGGAGGAGGAGGAAGGGGATTCTGATGATGATAATGTACCTGAGGCACCTCTACCACCTATCATTTCAAAGCAAGAGGTATGAAAACAAAAAAAATCTTATTTAAACTATTCGGATTTAAAAAATCACAAATCAATATGCACTGTTTCATAATATGTACTAATATTTAGAGAACACATAAAAGACACTTCTTTTTAGTTTAGTTTTTTAATAACAAATTAAAAACAACAATTTATTAAGATGTGTTTGATTTAAAACAAAAGTTATTTTACAAAAGTTTTCTTTAAAGCCATATGATTTTACTTTCATAGTGCAATATATTGGTGTTATAATATGTTATAATTATAATTATTTTTTCAGAGTCAACCTAACAAATCTAACAAGAATAAACGCAAAAAGAAAAAGAAGAAGGCTGCCAGACAGAAGAGAAATGAAACTAAGAAAGTTGACGAAGAACAAAAGAATGAAAAACAAGATGCCAAAAGTTCTAGTGACAAGGAAAATGAAAAGGCAGTTGAAATTGAGTTAGTATTAACATATTTAATTACAATAAAAAAAATTGTGTACGAAGGTGCAATATTTATAACAAAAACACACATTACCATGATTAGACTCTACTCCTACTTTTAACACATTTAATGCCACTTTTATATTTTTAAAATTTTTGTTCATCAATAACACCGCACCTACTTGCCAGATTTTCATGTACCAATGTCTTAGTTATGTTTGAATATTGAAGCAGATGTCGTAAACATTTTAAGCGCAATTACGTGACAAACTGTTGTTTTAATCATAACTTTTTCTTTTAGATATGTCCAAGAAAATATACAGTTTCATGAGCTGGAACCGATGTACCGTCAATTCCATCGTATTCTAGAATCTTTTAAGATCACAGAGATAAAGGAGGAAATCAAAGAGGAGTTTGACAGGGATACACCTAAATCTAGTTCAAAGCCTCTGGAAAAGGTGCAAGATCAGTTTGCAGCTGATGATGAGGCTGTGGAGGTTTGTGATTAATTTTAAAAAAACAAAAAAAAAAACAGATGTGGAATGCAACTTAGGATAAGAGTTAAAAATAATGTAACATATTTATGAAGTACATAAGATTAGTTGTAAAATCAACTGCCAAAAATTACCCAAAACAATACTTGCTTTATACTTTTTTTATTATTCCCAATTTGTAAAATAATTGGTTATAATGACCAAATTCATGTAACTCAATTTCAAGGCACATAATTTAACCTTTAAAACAATACAGTCATTTATTAATATAGAATATTGTTGATCCCTTTAGTGAATTATTAACTGATTTTCTAATACATACATATACAAAGAAATATTCATATCAAATATAAATATTTCTTGAGATTATGCAATCCATAATATGCATAGAAATTGTATTTCTGCTACAACAGAAGCATGCAGCGGATGAAAAAGAGCGTTTATCAAAACGTAAGCTAAAAAAGCTATCTCGCCTCTCAGTGGCAGAGCTAAAACAACTAGTGTCACGTCCTGACGTTGTTGAGATGTATGATGTAACTGCAAGAGATCCAAAGCTGTTAGTACAACTTAAAGCTCATCGGAATACAGTTCAGGTGCCAAGACATTGGTGTTACAAGCGCAAGGTACGATGATCTAATATTTTTTTATTACTTTCCGCTTCAGTATGTAAATTGAAAATGGATAAACAAGTGTCAAAGGTACTTTTAACCTGAGTTTCTCGCTGATGGAAAATGACTCTTGTATAGGTTTCTCGCTTAACCAGTTCTATTATCCAGTTTTGACTGTAATACAAAAATATTTGTGAAAATGTGACAGTTTAAATTACAATTATTAATCTAGTATACTGTATAGTTCATCGGAAGATATGTTACCACACCATACCTGTCTTCAACTGTTATAAGTCCTTGATTATAATAATTTTCTCTCAAAATACGCGCTAGTTGTAAGGAAAACTACCCTATTACTATAAAATATTTGTTTCATTTATTTACAGTATCTGCAAGGAAAGAGAGGTATAGAAAAACCTCCTTTCGACTTACCTGATTTTATAAAAAAGACTGGCATTATGGAGATGAGAGCCTCTTTACAAGATAAGGAAGAAACGAAGACGTTGAAGGCAAAAATGCGGGAACGCACTCGTCCTAAACTTGGAAAGATTGATATTGACTATCAGAAATTACATGATGCTTTCTTCAAGTAAGATTTATTTCTGTATCCAATTAAATAGGTGAAATCAAAAAATCAAAAATGTTAATAACATCAGTTATAATGACATATCGGTTGGCTGGCTAATATCGGTTATAACGACATATCGATTTTAACAACTTAAACTATAGGTCTCATCTAAACGCCTCATAAAGAAAGCAATATCAGTTATGTGAATCAAATATTGACAGTTGTTTTGATTGGTTGGTTATGACTGATTTTTTTGTTCAATTTACATATTATTGGTAGAAAGTGGATTAGACAGAGGAGTGGACGCATAGAAAGGGGAAATATTATCTTTCTGTGCATCCCCTTCATTGATTAGAGGTTCAACACATATTCAATTATGCATGTCTATGGGCAGCACTTGCTTGTTTGCCACAATCCAAAATGTTTTCATGTAAATTATTTTACAATGTGATCAAGAAAATATTAAAATATATTTTTATTATTGATCTTATTGTTTACCAGTTAAATACTGGTACAAAAATTGTCTTATTTTATAGAAATAAAGGTATATTTAGGTCGTATCTACCTGAGTCACTCAGAGGTATGTAACACATATTTTAAAATACATATATACTACAAAATCATCAGTTCAATATATTTTTTTACATAAATATTTCAACACATGCCATGCTATTACGTTTTTATCGTATGACCTTTAACTTACTTGGTCAGTCAATGGCTACTGTGTTAAAATGTTCAATTATACTTGTTATTTATTAATTTTTACTGATATATGTGTACAATTTTATATAATAGATGGCAGACCAAGCCTCGAATGACTATCCATGGTGATTTATACTATGAGGGTAAAGAGTTTGAGACGAGACTTCGCGAGAAGAAGCCTGGCGATTTATCTGAGGAGCTGCGGACTGCGCTGGGCATGCCAGTCGGACCTGGCTCACAGAAAGTAAGTACAGTGTCTTTTCAATAGTCTATTATTTTTTTCCGACTGACAGAGAGTAATGTTGTTTGCATGTATTTTTATATGTATGTATAATTATAATTTCCTTGTTATGGCCTAGAGCTTAAACGAATGAACCAATTTTGACGAGTGAGGTGTCTGTCATTTGATTCGTCTTTTGCCTTGGAGTGTCATTATATTGGCACAAAACGTACAGTGGACATGAAAAATAAGATTTAAAAAATTGTCTACTCTCCATAACTTTTTCCAATACTAAATGTTTTTTTTCGATGTTTTCAAATATATCATAAATTAAAAAATGTTACGTTTAATATTTAGTGTAAATTACAAATTTAAAAAACTGTTTTAAATTGCAATCAATAAGATAGCACTATTTCATATAATATAGTCGCAGTCGGGTTTTGTTTTTTTAAACGAAGATTAAGCTATAATATTGTTCTTTTCTAATATGTAATTATTTAAAATATAGGTACCTCCGCCGTGGCTGATCGCTCAGCAGCGTTACGGTCCGCCCCCATCTTACCCCAACCTGAAGATCCCAGGTCTGAATGCTCCCATCCCTGAGGGCTGCGCGTTCGGGTACCACGCGGGCGGGTGGGGCAAACCGCCCGTCGATGAGGCGGGCAAACCTCTCTACGGTGATGTGTTCGGTCATCAGAGCAGCGGACAAGATGTTAGTAAGATTTAAATATGTATAAAAACAGAATTGCAGCTTTATATGAAAAGGGAAACTGGTCAATACCTTAAAAGTTTTTAAAGTATGAAATAAACAGTTATATTATGAGCCATTTATGGCGTCAAATGGTTCTTCGGGTTAGTTAAAAAAAGCATTTTTGTAAAACTTTATATGTAAACAAATCCTTTCTCCTGTTTGATATAAATGTAATTTTTTTTGTTACATGAAAAAAATGTTCACCGTGGCATATTTTTGTAATACCAGGACAATGAAGATCAGGACATTGACCGCACCATGTGGGGTGAACTGGAATCCGAATCCGAAGAGGAATCTGAAGAGGGTATGTAAAACATTTAAAAAATATAAACCCGCAGCTTGAGTTGGCACGTCAAACAGAATAAAACTCATGTTATCGACGTGACAAATGCTAGATATAATAAACTATACGAGGACATTCCTTATTCAATTGATATCAACATTTTAATATATAGCAAGGAATATTTTATCTAATTAATTACTATAAATGTCGCAGAAGAGTCAGGTTCGGATGAGGAGGGTGGAGGCGCTGCGAGCGCGGGCACGGCGACACCCGGCGAAGGCCTGGCCACGCCTCTCGGCATCAGCTCCGTGCCGCCCGGAGTTGAGACCCCAGACACCATCGAACTGCGCAAGAAGAAACTCGACAGCGACATCGAAGGGTAAATACATACAAAATAATACAAAAATCTATCGAAATTCGGGTGAATAATTAAATAACTGGATCGAAGCAATTAGCAATGGGGAGAAAAGCTGCTTTTTCTTCACAATAGATGTCAGCATGATTTAGAGTGAAAGCACTAAATACAGCACAGATATACAAAAAGCGCTTTATTTTAAACACAAAATATATAATGTTCTGTGGACTTTTGTCAAGTCAAAAAATTTTAAACAACGGTATCTACATATTAAAAAAGCTCTTGACGCTAGTGCCGCATTCTTAGAGCTTTTAATTTTTCTCTGTATTCGAATTACGTCGAAACATTCTATCACTACTTATCTTTATTTACCAATATCAAATTCGGATTTTGTTGTTTTTTCATATAAACATAATTCTGTTGCGCTAGGGGAGACACGCCGGCGCTATACCAGGTACTGCCAGAGCGACGCGTGGGGCTGACAGCCGGCATGATGGCTTCCACACACGTCTACGATATCAACGCGGCCAACCCAGGTACATACATGCATTATATTTGATTCTTCATCAAAATATCATCACATTTGGAGTGATATTAGTTCCTGACAAAATAAATTTATAACGACTCAATGTTAGATGGCCACTTTGGCCATAAGATTTTTAGATACGAATACTTAATATAATTACTACCTCATTTATGATTTAATTGTCATATCAGGCAAGCGCGGTACGGGCGGGGGTGCGGTCGCGGCGGCATCAGGCGGAGGCACGGCGGAGGGCGTAGTGGAAGTGGCGCTGGACCCCTCCGAGTTGGAGCTGGAGCCCGAGGCGGTGGCCGCGCGTTACGAGCGTCATCTACGCGAGCAACGTCCCCGACACAAGGAGGACCTCTCCGACATGCTTGCCGACCACGTTGCCAGGCAGAAGGTGAGGACATTGTTATTTTAATGTTAAATATTTTACACACAAACATATCATGATTCAATCTAATTATTTGTTAATCTTAAAAAAAACCGGCTATACATCGGGGAAGATAACGAATTGAATGCCACCTCTATGGTCAAATCGATTTAGTTGATAGACACCTGACCGTTACAATGTAATTTACACATACACAAAACCGCATACATACATGTAAACAAAACAAAGCGCGAAAAATAATACTTCTTTTTATGCTTTTACAGAACAAGAGGAAACGTCAACAGAATACGGATTCAAAGCAAGCGAAGAAATACAAGGAGTTCAAATTTTAAATATCATTCTTGTTTCTTTAGAATTACAAGTTTCGTGCTAAGAGTAATTCATTTTTTATTATTAGTTAGGATATTATAGAATAAGTTGTAAAATTAACATAAATAAAACAATATAATAAATATAGTTGTAATGGATATGGTTTTTAATTTTTCCACCCTTTAGATCTTTTTCATTGGATTTCACGGTGAACCTAGAAAAATATTATTTTTGCCCACACCTTAGGGAATTAAAACTAATGCTTGCAACACCAATTAATGAAATGTCTATATTGACTTTGACATTTCGTCGCTGAAAACTTTGCGTGCGTCAATTTGCTAAACTTTTTAAATTGAGTTTACTTCTTAATAATTTTGGATTTTATTTATTGTTAGGCTAATTGTTTACTTCTTTAATTAAATACAAAATAGGTACAATGTCTCGTGTTCTAGTCGGAGTAAAAAGAGTTATCGATTACGCGGTCAAAGTAAGTCATAAGTACAAAGGTTAATCAAGTCTCAAGATCATTGACTTTTTACCCAGCTAATTGATAAAGATAAAATAATTAATTCATAACTTTACTACTAATTCTACTTCCATTAATTCAATACCCACCGCAACTAATTTTTGTAACACGTTTGTTATTTTTATAAAACTTTTATTTAAATTAAAGCATCGAATCCTTTTTCATTTGCTTCGAAATAAGAATTGCAAATGTAATGTTAAAATTGGATAGAAAGCAACACTTGTTTTAGTCAAGAGAAAAAAAATGGATTTGATTATAATGAGATGGAAATTTTAACTTTCTTATAGATACGAGTAAAGCCAGATAAATCTGGCGTGGTAACAGATGGAGTTAAACACTCCATGAATCCATTTGATGAGATTGCCGTTGAAGAGGCAGTAAGAATGAAAGAAAAGAAACTGGCCAGTGAAGTTATTGCTGTTTCTTGTGGACCTGCCCAGTCACAGGTGCATTTAATTTTTTTTATAATTATAAGGTGCAAACATTTTATTAACTGGACGCCATTTATAGATATCTGCAATATAGTTAGCAGATGTTAGGTCTCTTTGTTCAAAAGAAGATGAATGTATTTTCCACTTCATCATTTCAGTCCTAAATACTCAATAAATACTTAAGATTTAAAAGTTACTCAGATACTATTTATTTGTAGGCTAATTACAATTTTTAAAAATGATTTATCAATAAAATGATAAGAAATATTCATTAAATATTTCCTACAATCATATTAAAACTACTTAGGAAACTTTGAGAACCGCTTTGGCTATGGGTGCCGACCGAGCCATCCATGTGGAAGTGGCGGGAGCGGAATATGACACCATGCAGCCCATACATGTGGCTAAGATCTTAGCTAAACTCTCAAAGGATGAAAAAGCAGACATTGTGATTGTTGGAAAACAGGTATAAAAACATTAAACTCATTGTTTTTTTTAATCAGTTGTTAAATTACAATTTTTGGATTCAGGATAAAGACAGTATTGCAATGCCAAAATAAGTCAAATTGTTAATATTATTTACTATAAAAACAGCTTGATATTTTAAATTTATTTTGCCATGAATAATAGATAAACTCAGTCACTACATTAAGGGTCTCCCTAAGAGACCATTTAATAATTCTGAGAATGGTAGAGCTTTCTTAGTACTAACTTTAAAGGAATTAGTGAGTGAATTTTTGTTATTGCAATATTACAGGCAATTGATGATGACTCCAATCAAACAGCTCAAATGACTGCGGCTCTTTTGGACTGGCCTCAAGGAACTTTTGCCTCCAAGGTTGGTCTAAATACAGACTATGTATTTATTTTGTGGTAGAGATAACCCCAGTTCACAGAGTGATTTTATCAATGTGATTTGAATTATGTTTACATAATGATAATGAATTGTAATTTTTTTTGCTTTTTACACAAGAAATGTGTTTATCTAATTTAGTTTTTCTAGTATTTTAATATTTTTGTAATTTTGATTCATAGAAAAAAAATTGTAACTTTTTTAGTTGCTTGGTTTCTCTTCAAATGATTTTACTATGTTTTATATCATTTAAGTCTCTTACTTTATATTGCTTTTTGTCTTGTAGGTGGAAAAAACTGATGCCGGTTTGACGGTAACTCGTGAGATTGACGGTGGCTTGGAAACAATCAAGACCAAAGTCCCAGTTGTGATTAGTGCGGATTTACGACTCAATGAACCGCGTTATGCCACATTACCTAATATTATGGTAAGTCAACTTGTGAAGGAAAATTTTACTATGATTTCTTTTTTGACTACCATATTGGTAGTTTTGATAAATCTTATTTTTTGACTCAAGAAGAAATTGGGTTGAAAATTTGACATAACATATGAATAAACTAAATTTTAGAACTAATGCAGACAGTTTTCTGTGCTAAATTCAAGCTTATGGAAATATTTTTTTTTGTAGAAAGCAAAAAAGAAGCCATTGAAAAAATTAACAGCAAAAGATTTAGGAGTAGATTTAGCAGCTAGAATCAAAGTGATTAGTGTGGAAGATCCTCCGGTGAGACAGGCTGGTTCCATAGTTCCTGATGTTGACACTCTGGTAACTAAACTAAAGGAGGGAGGACATGTATAAATAATTGTCAAACAAAAACATTTATTTTGTTTTTTTTAATTTACTTTGTACACAATTTTATATATGAATTTATAAAGTCTGTAGTTTATTGAAAATTAGAATATACATTGTTACATTAAATAAATTTATTTTAAAACCCAACTTTAGTAATTACTGTAGAAATAAAGTCATTTTGCCGAAAATAAATATCTTGTAAATTGTAATCTATTGAGGTTTTCTTAACAAATGACATACCTTAATTAAAATCAATTTTTTACAACAACTGAGTGAATCCTAACCATTTCAATATTTACAAATGAATGTACTACTATGACACTTATTTTGACATAATTGTCTCTGGTTTTCCAAAGAGAAACATGTGTCAATACAATTGCTACAACCAACACTGAAATAAAACAAATATTTACAATGCTATAGTACAAACATAAAAAATGTCAAAACTTAACATAAATTATGGCAGAAAGTTATTTAAGCAGCAATCTAAATCTTTTAAGAGTCTAATAACTAATCATGAAACACCAAAATAACCCTAAAACTACGGACAGTCTCAACAATTAATGGAATGCACTAACCTTTATAAATGGACCAGCTATACCACATAGTATTTTGTGCCTGTTTAATTTTCGCCATTTTGGCGCTGATGGTACTTGTTTGTAGCAGTAGTGGGAATTGGAACTAATAATATAGATAAGAGTTAACTGTCACGTAACAACAGGCGCATTTAAATCAGATTAAAGCAAAAACCAAGCAATCGCCTATCCATTTATAGAGATCAGTGATGGAATGAAAAACTACATGTCTATCAATAAATTTATTAAGTATTTAAAATAAGCCTTCCCCGCTGTAAGGCTCGTACCACACTATTTTACCCTCGAGACAGCCGGTGACGAGGACATGGTGGCGGGGACTGAACTTGGAGCTGACGACCAGGTCCTGGTGGATGCCGAGGCTCTGGCCGACCTCGACCAACGGCGCGGGGCCGTGGAAGTCCTGCACGCAGTGACACAGCTCGCTGCAGTCCTTGTTCAGGGCTAGTAAATGCATACCGCGACCAAACGGAGAACATACTAGTCTACCGTCTGCGGAAAAGCACAGCTCCTGTGGGAGAAAAAAAAAATTACGAATATCATAAATGGGAATGTTTAGATGGATGAATGGATGGATGTTTGTTAGAATTTATCCAGAACGGATGAATGGATCTAGGTGAAATCTGGCACAGATGTAGATCATAACCTCGAAGAACATATAGGGTACTAATTAAATTTTGTTTAGTTAAAATAAGACACTTTTTGTCCTATCTTGCATAAGTTACCTTATTTTACAATGGAACTTAAAATTATCTCACAATTTCCATTGGATTAAAATGGCATATAAACGTAATCAATACTTTACCTTGATAAAGCCCCTGCCTTCATTGGTCTCCTCAACATAATATAGCAGACGTTGTCTGTTCTGCCGGATGTAGTGTTTGGTAGCTTCCTCCGCATCGCCATGCCGGCTTGCAGGCGTCTGCCCTGACGTCGACGGTGTTGTGCTGCATGATAAAATACAAAAATTGTATAAGTCTTTTCAAATATATTAACAGCTCAAGGTCATGTGCGCTCTGCCATGAGCCACCAATAAAACATTTATACTAGAATGAAGAAAGCGTCTTTTAAGACTAAATTAATTATTCCCGTAAATTCATTATGACCTACTCTGGTAAATTACGGCAGATGTAGACATACCTATCGCTGACGGCGATGGAAATGGGGCGCGGCGTGGTGCGGGGGCGGGGCAGCGTGGCGGGCGGCGCGATGCCAGTCGCGAAACCCATTATACGTTGCATATTGAAGTTACGACCCATCTGACCCCTGACATGAACACATCACAATCATCTTACTAATATTATAAAGATTGAAGGTATCTCCAGAATATCTGCATGGATGTCGCTGAAATTTGGCATAGGTGAAGAATATAGTCTAGAAAAACACATAGGCTACTAATTATGTTTTTTTTAAAATACAGAAAACCAAGCATTGATTTTATAACTACGATCAAAGGAAGTGTGCCAATAGAAGTTTGTAATTTCTGCCTATCTCTCTGGGTTACGAGCATGACAACATTTGATGTTAGGATTATGTTGCTTACCTTATATACATTTCTTGAACCATTCTGTGCTGTTTGATTGTTATTGATGCCTCCCATACATCATTTTGTATACTGGGAACACCCTAAAAATAAATAGTGGAATTTATATAAAAACTTCTTTCTAAAAACTAAACCTTTTTACATTGAAAGCTATTAAATTGTCTATTATATAAATTTATAAAGGATTTTTGATAGCCAAATCTACATCTTTATTACTTATTTTACTATTATTTTTATTACACTGTATGTATTCAGGTCTGAAAATTATTAAAATGATCGGAATTGAAAATTAATTAAAATTGTCCAAAAGCAACTAAAGATGACGATATAATCTAAAATATATTTAAAAAACTTAGAAGGCGCTACATTCAAAACTTTTTGGTTAAAACTGAGTTCAAAGGTGTGATAAGAAAGCAAGTTTTGTGTCACAGTTACGGTCCATATGACAGTTCAGATGTCTCACCCGTCCCAGCCTAACGTTGGCGGCGGCGGCGGCGGCGGCGGCGGCTGCGGGCTGCGCAGGCTCGCCGTCCCCCTCGCCCCGCGCACTCCCTCCGGACTCCGAGTCCGACTCCTCGCCCTCAACCTCTCTCTCATTGCCACCTTCCCCCCTTCAAGTCATAATATATAGTGTGTCATATATTTTGCCAGCTCGGAACATCAACATCGGCGTTACACAGATGACTTTGACCCGCAAAATATTTGAAAATATGGATACTATGTTATTTTAAAACTATTGTTCAGTTGAACATCACATAGTGGCTATTAATCAGGCAGTTCAGCATTACAGAACATTTTAAATGCGTAACCCAGATAGATAGGCAGAAAAAACATAAGCAGTCGACCCTCTATAAAAGAGAGTCATTGTGCGATTCTGACGGCTTCCATTAGAGAGAAACCTCTATAAGCGAGAAAAATGTCGCGGTACATTTGACTCTCGCTTATCCAGTATCAACTGTATAAGTCTTGGCACACTTCTTTCGATTCTTCAATTGGTCGTATTATTACGTTGGGTTAGTAACATAACTTGTGTACATAATTATTGTCAAATCCGTTCAACAGTGCTAAAGAATTTTCTCATGTATAGAGAGGGATTTAAGTACATTTTTGTGTATTATGAGGTACTAACCTTGAGTTTGAGTTGCGCTGGCGCAGCATTCTGAAGTTCATGTGCCTGGCGAGCCTGCGGGCGCGTGCGGGGGGAGTGCGGCGCGGCGAGGGGGGCAAGGGCGCGGGTACGGGCAAGTTCGCTGACGTCAGAGCCGGCGCCGGAGACAACGAGGGCACGGGCGAGGGCGGAGATCGCGGCTCCGTGTCCAATGTTGACTTGTCTGAACTGTCGGTAGGCTGGATGTCGTGGATGCACGACCACTACATAATTACAAAATAAATTGACAAAATTACAAAATGTCAAAAAAGTGGGACATTCGAACCTAAATTAATGCTAAGTTTAATTCTTTTTGTGGAAGTTGTGATAAAAAAAAGTAATTTAAACCTACCTCCGAACGATCGCCATGGCTGATATTCCTGCTTAACGCACACCAGCCTTGAGGATGAATCTGAAAAGACGATATTAAGAAAATAAAAAAAAGTTTAAAACACATGTATAATTAATTTCAAGTAACTTGGATGGATTGGATGTTTATTTGATTTTTGTCCAGAACGGCTCAACAGATAAAATTTTGTAAGAATATAGATAGAACATAATCTGGAAAAACACATAAGCTACTTATAATTTATTTTTAAATTCACGCTGATGCAGTCGCTGGAGGACGCTAGTATAATGATAAAGCATTAGGCAAGTTTTAGTGCGTAGTAAGTACCTGTAGGGCACTGACGACCTTCGCATCATTACCCTCGGGGAAGTCAGAGATGAGCTCGACGCGGTTCTCGCGACGCTCCTCGTCAAACAAATGGTCGTACATCGCAGCTATCGGGATCAGCTGGTGGCTCATTTGCATCAGTCTGTATAAGTTGGGCTGGACAAGACATTATCACATCAATTACAATGAAGTAACTTAAGTACTTATCTTACTAATATTATAAGTGCGAAAGGTATCTCCAGAAAGCCTGTGTGGATCTTGCACAAATTTGACACAGATGTAGAATGTTGCCTGGAATTTAGTAGCCTATGGTGTGTACCCATAGGTTATTAACTTTTCTTTAATTCCACGCAGACAGTGCCAAAGGCTACATAAATTTTCTCAAAAAAAAAAAATTGTGCAGAATAAAAAAAATAGAATGCTTACTTTAAAACCTCGTAGATCATGTGCCAGTGTAGATAAGTTCAAATTGTGTATAATGACCAACAAACCGCCTGTTGTACACATGACCATTTGTTTGGCGTCAGGTGATAGTCTACACCTCATCAAATCGGACGCATGGAAAACTCTATGATGGACAACATTGTATTCCGTATATGAATTTATATCCCACGTATATATGCTGCCATCTAATCCAGATGTGACTAGTAATTTGTCTTTAACTGAAAACTCTATATTCTTCACCCAATTAGAGTGACCGATGAGCGAACAGATTTTTCTTCCTAAATTTCTAATGTCCCATAACGCTATTGTGGCATCATCGGAACATGTTGCAAACATTCGACTATCTAAGAATCTGAAAAAAAAATAATCAGATATTATTTGCCTTCAACAACAAATTGATTTTTTTTATATCGTAAGGTAAACAAGACAGCGGTCATGATATAGTGAAGAGACCGTTGCCCATAGAACGCAATTGCATATGCATTGCCTACCCTTAATTGAGGGAGAGGATGCATAGAAATAAAATATTTTCTATGCATTCTCCTGCAACTGTTTAAAGTTGAATATTTAGTGATTTGTGTTATAAAAATTTAATACAGCATTGATAATAATTAGTATTACTTACTTAACACAATTGACACAATCTGAATGTGCTACATTCACAGAACGAATCCTATAATGTGTGAGAGGGTCAAATATTTGTATTGATCTTTTTTCGCATGCTGCCACCAACAAATTCCTGAAATATATATATTTTTATAGTAAATTAACATATAATTTTTTTTAACATACTTGTGTTAGCTTGTTAAATCAAAATATAGTTAAAGTTAGTAGAAAGAGTTCAAGGGATGATGCTATTTTTCTTGCCTCTAACCCTTGTGCTTATAGAGATTGTTTATCAGACCAGACAATGTCTCTAGCTTATAGAGATTTTTCACATATTATATTTGACTACATTACATAAATTCTAATTATAGCTTCACACTCAATACCCATAAGCCATATTACGTCCATTTTAAAAATATCTATTAATTTCCACTGCCTGGAACACAGCCTGTCTCAGAACATTTTTTTTTATTATTTGCTTTTGGCTGTGGAAGTTTTTCAAGCAAAGTTTTTCCTTGATACCTTACAGTTAAGGATATGTAAGTTAAAGGATAAATTAAATAAGGAAATCTATTTATATATCAGGGCCAAACTGAGATTGTTTTTGTTTAATAATAATATGATTGACCTTGTCAACATATAGACAACACATAAATAGAAAAAAAAACGGATCTTTTGTTTCTACACATTATCAATTACCAAATGTATAAGAGATATAAATAGATTATAACCAATGGTATAGTATTCTAATATTTTTTTAGAAGATGGCAAAAGGGACCACATATCACCTAAATTTATTTGATCCGACACCCATGGATATTGTAACACCAGAGGAATCGCAGATGTGTTGGCAGCCTTTAAAGGATGTGTACACTTTTGTCTTGAAGGCCCCTAAGTTGTAACTGCTTGGAAATACTGCTGCGGACCAAGTATTCCACAACAGGGCTTACAATATGTTTTACAAACAAAAAATGCTTGTACTTGTAAATGATATACTCAGAGCTTAACTGTTTGTCTCTTGAGCTATTGAAATAGAGTGTTATTCATATTGGGTTACTTTCTCAAGAAAAAACATTGTATGCTATATTGTCATACAATTGTATATGAAATTCTAATAAGAATAGCTGGAATGAATATTGGGCAATGTCACTACTTATTGTAAGGAAGATCAAAAAATATAAGACGATTCAAACTTTTTCATTGATACATGTGTGATCAAGCAATGTTTTCAGATATTGATAAAAAGCTATGAAAAATGTAAATTGTCGAAAGTATTTTTCGTTAGTACTTACCCTTCTGGAGAGAACTCGAGATTAAATACACCTCCGGTAGGAACATCATTATCCTTTTCGTAGTCCCAGGAAGCAATTGGTTTCATGCCACAATAAAGACTTTTTGACAATGCATTTTCTGCACCAATGGGGGTTGGTAATCCTATTTCTTGTCTTAGTAGTCTATAAGGACTAAAAGCTGAATTTCTAGACATAAAGGATGAAGTATAATTGCTACCCATCGTTATTTATTTACTAATAAATATAAGTGAAAGTTAAATCTATATTTCCTTAAGTACTTCACATAACAGGTGGAAATAAATGCAAGTATAGCATTATCAGTATGTTAGATTTTACATTTTCTCCCGTCGGTACAAAATTAGTAAATGTATAGATTGAATATAAGAGAAATACAGATCACATTGCAATTTGATTGGCAATGCAATGCGGAAATTTTACCACCGACAAGTGAAAAGTATGACGTATGAAATGTCACTTATCTAAAGGTAAAATCAATTTTATATACTCTTTGGGTAAAAGCTTAATTGTGAGCTTGAGAATAAGACTTTTTATTATAGTAATTTTATTAGCTTATCATAAATGTAGAAAGATATTGCATTAAACTTGATATACTTTAATATCCAAGTCCACGAAAAAAAATTTTTACCTTTTTAAATCCTTGACAGATTGACAGTGACAGATGACAGTTTTGAATGGCAATTCATTTTCAAAAGCAATCAACAACGTTTTAACTGTTTGTTGTTTTTAATAGTATTTTAATATGAAATAATAATTCATCTAGTAAACCGTGTGGACATCATATTCTTATAATTATGAGTGACATATCAGTATTGTCAGACTTAGAAAATAGTCATAACATAATCAACAATTTGTCCAAAGAAAATGTAAAAAGACATGACATAAGTATTTCCGATCAATTAGCAGATTTTGAAAAATTACGCATATCTGCTCTCACAAAAGCTGCCGAAATTAGTCCTTTGGTCAAAGAAGTAACAATTGGTCCCAAGAGCCCTTTGAAAAATACGAAGACAAAAGAAAACATTCCTGTTAAAAAGGATGACAACGATTTAAATTTGCTGGAGGATAAAATTGGCGAGGATCTCCGTTATACACTTATGTTGAAGCAGTATGAATCAAAATTATTGGAGTCTTCAGAGGAGTTGTTTAAAAATTTAATAGAAAAAATGATAGCAAAACACACTGAAAGTATGAGAACATTTTGGAAGAAACAGAGTGAAGAAAGTGAACGTAAAGCTTTAGAAATGCGTGCGAGAAGATTGCAGATGGTAAAGCAGTTGCAGGAAAATGACAATTTGTCGGTATTAGACAAGGCTAAATTAGATGAGAAAAACTGCCAAATCATAAATAAGTCTACTATAGAGAATATGAACAGAATATTGGAAGAACAAAACAAGGCAGCCAGTAGATTTGCTGCCATAACAGATAGTCGCACAAAAGTGTGTATATGTTTTAATGATATTAGTAATATATTAAACTCTGAACCTCAAGCAAAGACTATATATGACAAATATGTAATATCAATCAATGCAATCATTGGTAATATAAATTCTATAATGGATCTTTGTAAATCTGGCATTATTACTGATAAAGAAGTTAAACAGGCGGAAATATTATCTTTAAATATTGAAAACATACAAAAAAAGATATTGGAGGATTTGGGTGAAATTAAACAGAAGGAAGAAGAGGCTAAAAAGAAAGAAATTGAGGAGCAAAGAATTAAAAAAGAAAATGAGATTAAAAAAGCAATAAATGAGTCAGTCGAAAAACCAGAAACAACAATTGAACAACCTAAGAAAACAATACCAATGTTTTATTCTTCCAAAAATTATGCACATTTTGTTGAATTGCAAGACTTCTTAAATGCATATGAGAGCCACTATAAGGATCTGTTAGAAGATATTAACTTGAAAAAATTCCGATTTGATTGCCAGAAGGCTGTTAATACCCCAGTGAATGCTTTGTCATCAGTAAGTGGTGCACATATCAGAGATAAATTTGATAAACTATACAAATTACTAAGAGGTGAGCGAGTGCAGGTTTTGGATATTTATGTCCAAGCAACACAGCATCCACAAGGATTGCATTATTGCACTGCTTTATTAGCTAAAAAGATAGTAAGACAAGGAGATCTTTTAGTATCAAGTAATCCTGAGGCAGCCTTCCCTCTTGCAGCAGTTTCTGTAGCACTATGGTCACAATTTCCAGACTTTGGAAAACTTCTAGAAGCTAATTTCCATAGACAGTGCCCTTACTTGGTACCAATGTTATTGCCACAAAAACAAGGACAAACTGACAAAGAATTCTATATATCAAGAGGTTATACCTATAATGAAGACGGTGCTGTAGAGAAGCAAGATAAATTTTTGAAAAGAATGTCTGGCATATTCCAGCTTTGTTGTGCTATTTGGATAGCAAAGATGCCTAAATTTGTTAATACTCCCAATCCTCATGGTCTAAGTCATGGTTGGAAATGGCTTGCTTCTTTCATCAACCTAAAACCAGAGCCTGACATCAGTGCAACACTACTTCATGATTTCTTCTCTGTCTGTGGTTCTGAATTTTTCAAAAATTACAAAAAACAATTTGCTAAAATCTTCAAATTGATTTGTTCTGACTACCTTAAGATTCTAGAGAAAATAGATGAAGGAGGACCAAAGACAAGATTGGAAGTGTATTTACAAAATGTCACCAGAGAAGGCCAAGTACCACCACCTAGTGGTCTTTTACCTTCAAATACTTGGTAGCTTTTAAGTGCAAATGAAATTTGATATGTAAGTAAAAAGTGCAGAATTTGAAACAATCAAGCAATATGATTTTTGATGCATGTTTTATGTATTTAATTTATGAAATGTAAATTAGGGCACAGAAATTGGATGATTAGTTTGTTAAAATAAATTTTGATTATTCTAAAAAGTTGTTTTCTTTGTGTGCATTGTTTGTATTAATATTCATGTCTTTACCAATATACTGTAAGTTTACAATAAAAACATGCTAGGAGATTCTAATATTTAACTCAGACCAAAAACTTTCACATATTAATAACAAGTAAGTGTTAGTAACGAGCTGAACAAATAATTACTTTTATTTATAAATATGAAAGGAAAATAAAAATGATTCACAGTGCGTAATCAAAGCAGTTGTACAATAGAGTCTTATTTCCATTCGTAATTATCGAGTATCCGAACTAATGTTTAAAAACGGCGGGAAATTTGACATAAAACAGTTGCTTGTACGTCAAAGTCAAAATAAAGTATAGTTTAGTAATGAGATGAAATTATTTTTATTTTATTTTGTTATTATTCATTATGGTATTGCAAAATACGGGAAAATTTAGAGCAGAAAGAAGTGAAAATAAAAAGGATGCTGGTCCATCCTCACTTGCTAGGTTTTCAGTACATTATATTAAATAAGTATTAGTAGTAGGGTTGAAACAAATTTTTATTCATGCGTGTTTTCTGTACTTCAGAGAAGAATCTTCAGAGTCCCGAATTCGTATCGCTGTTGATAATGACAGAATTGATTCTAAATATGGATTTGAAAGAGTACGTGATACAAAAGAACGCACCGGCTACCTCATTAACATGCATACTGTAAGTATGACAAAGTATTTTGTTTATACAAAAACTATGAAAATAATCCTTTTTGTGGGATTATGATGTCTAATGTATTGTTGATGTAATGTGTTGAAGGCAGATATATGGAATCATTTCTGAAACTCGACTTAAAATTCCCTTTTTATCCAAATAATTATTTCAACTTAACTAAAAAATACACATTCTGGAATTTATCAAGATGATTATCAAGAATATAGGGGTGTTAAAGAGTGACAGTATCAATTAATCATTTATGTTCTGTTTATTGTTATTTATTGCTGGTGTATTTTTTGATGAAATTTTTGGGACTAAATTAAAAAAGAGCCTACTTATAATCTATTCCTCCTAAGTAGGGAAGGCTCTGAGCCCCTTAGTGGGATGTATATTGAGCTGATGATGAAGTAAGATTGGTAAAAATCTAGCCAAAACATTATGCTTTGTAAACATATGCGCCAACCCTACATAAGTGTGATAAAGCCAGGGAGATAACTCTTGAATTTATACTTTTAGGCTGAAATATTGGATGAAGATAAAAGACTGGTTGCAGCTATGGACTATTATTTCATTGAAATGGACGGTTCTCGGTTCAAAGTATCCCTCACATTTCAACCTTACTTCCTAATTTCATCAAGAAAAGAATGTGAACAGGAGGTCATTCAGTATTTGTCAAAGAAATATGCAGGAACTATACACAAAATAGACATTGTTGAGAAGGAGGATTTAGATTTGGTATGTTATACAATATTTTTGTTAATTATTCATCATAATTTGCAAAATAAAATTTATCAATATTTTTTTCAGCTTAATCACTTGTCAGGACTAAAGCAGCGTTACATTAAGCTCTCTTTTATGTCCCAAAACGAATTAATGAAAGTGAGAAGAGAGATACTGACTGCTGTTAATAAAAACAAAGAGAGAGAAAAGAAAGACGCTATTTATTCTGAAATGTTAACTAATGCTCTGACCAGTGCTGCTGCTATTGAGCATGCAAAGAAAACAACCGATCATATGGAGAATATTATTGATATTAGGTAATTCAGTGACAAATATCTTATACTTAGGATACCCTATATAAAGATATAGCGCAGCTGTCTGCAATCATCAGCAATTGCAGATGCATTGCCTACCTTTAATCGACCGAGGAGAGGACAATCAGAAAGAGAATATTTCCCTTTTCTATGCGTCCTCACCTACATAAAATCCACACCAGGATAGAAAGGGAAAGAAGACTAAAATTAGGTCAGATCCTAAGATCTTTCCGTAACTATGTTACAAGAGCTGCTACTAATAAGTGGGATATATTTTACTCTAGCCTTAAATGTACTTTTTTTTGTAGAGAACATGATGTACCATATCATGTAAGAGTTTCAATAGACATGAAAATATTTTGCGGCACTTGGTACACGGTAAAGAGTCGTGGCACTGAGATTCCAATATTTACGAAGAGAGATGATATAATAGAACGGCCGGATCCTATTGTTCTGGCTTTTGATATTGAGACAACCAAGTTGCCGCTCAAGTTTCCGGACTCACAGACTGACCAAATTATGATGATTTCATACATGATTGACGGACAAGGTTATTTGATTACTAATAGAGAGATTATTTCCACCGATGTTGAAGATTTTGAATATACTCCTAAGCCTGAGTTTGAAGGGTGAGATTTTTTTTTAATTTATCATCCAAGTACCTCAATTGCTAATCAAATACACATCTATATATAAAAAGGAAAGTCATGTTAGTTACACTATTTATAACTCGAGAACAGCTTTATCGATATGGTTGAAAATTGGTGAGGAGGTAGCTTAGAG